ATGTAGAATTCCAAAAGTTATTGAGAAAAGAAATAGAAAAGGGGAACAGAGGACCAGTGACTTCTGGGAAGTAGAAAGACAACTCTTTTGTTAACCTATTGTCATGATATACTGAAGTGGCACCTATGGGATATGCTGAGAGAAGGCAGAAAGGAATAATACAACAGAGGGGAGGAAGCGGTGCTTGGGTCCAACATCAGCACAGGAATTTGATTGCTTCCGGGTATAGATTATGATCCAGGTTGAAGTGCGCTTGACCTAAGCCTTCTAGGACTGTGACTATGTCTTGGGCTTTGTGCAGTATGCAATAATTAAGAAGCATGCAGCATCAAACATGGGTTTGGGAGAATCACTATCTCCTTCCCCTAACCACTCCATGCAGTGAGTCTTCTTGGACCATTCCCTACGAAACTATCATCTCTCTGCATCCCTGGTCCCAAATCCATTACCTTCAAATCTACCTGAAAAACGAGAGTATCACCATTCATCCATTCACTTGGGCTATGAGAATACTTGAAGTCACCATTGATTTTTGTCTTACCTTCATAGGTTCGACTCATGATTTCATTAGAAAAGTCCATTTGCTCCTCTTCCCAACTGTATCTCCAATCCTGCCTTTGGCCATTTTCAACTTTTCCATCAGTCCTTAGCAGGACTAGTAAAGAAGCCCCTATTGTGCATCCCCCATTCAGCTACCTGAAAGAACTATGCAGAGTATTTCAGATCACCCCAGGTTCCTTAAAACCTTTTATTGTATGGAATAAAATCCAAATGTCTAAAAATGGCTTCTGACATTCTGTGTAGTTTAGAACCTACTGCTTCTCTGACCTCATATCCCCTTTATCTGCTCCTTGTTCACTACCAGCCATTGTTGTTTTTTTTCCCCTTCTCAAAGTCCTTGCACTCAAATGAGCTTTTCTTCTTGGACAGTTCTTCTGACAAGTAATCAAAATGTTGCTTCCTCATTATTTCAGGTCACAATTTTATTTCTTCTGGGGGACCCCCACTAATCTTATTGCTAAAAAAGCAATCTTCCAAAGACTGGTGATGCTAGATTATATTAAACTACTTTATGTCCTGCATAGATTTACCAGAAACTGAAATCATTTTATTTGTATATTTGTTCATGTGACTTTCATTTGTCTCCACTCAACCCCAAGATAAATTCCTTAAGGGCAGGGACTAAGAATATCTATTATTATGGTATCCCTAAGGGTCAACAGAAAGTGTGGCACATGGTAGACTCTTCACTGATTGATGAACTAATGATTTTGATATAGAGAGTTGACATCAGGTTGTATTTTTGGAGATCACAACCAGAAACTTTAAAGGTGTAACTCTGAGCTCTAGACCTAGTGATACGATAAAAAGTGTCCACCGGCAACCATGCAATCCATTCATCAGGATTGAGGCATCACTGCAGAGTCTGGCTTCAGCATCTGCACTTGAGTTTGTCTGAATTCTAGTTCTAGTCAAAAGATACTTCCATCTAGGATTTACCCATTAGACTGAATAAACCAGTAAGCCCTGGGCTTGCTGTTTTTKTTGTTGTTGTTGTTATTATTGTTATTTAGTATAGTCATAGGAAAGATACAAAGAAAGGATCAATTTGTTTCATTGTGTATATCAGAATATATGTGAACTTATTTTAATGCAATGATGCACACACACACAGAGCATGTATTCTATTTAAAAWTTAGTTAGAACTAAAAAAAAATATGTATCACCTAGAATTTCAAACTATTTGTAAGGGTTGTTATAATTTGTAATGCCATTTTTWAAAAGAGATTGATAGATAGATAGAGAGAGAGACAGACAGAGAGAGAAAGAGAATTTTAATATTTTTTAGTTTTCGGCGGACATAACATCTTTGTTTGTATGTGGTGCTGAGGATTGAACCCGGGCCGCACGGATGCCAGGCGAATGTGCTACCGCTTGAGCCACATCCCCAGCCCTGTAATGCCATTTTAATACTTATAAAATTTTGTAATTTTATCAGAGTCCTTGTTTATACATATTATATGTATTCATTACAAATAACTCCTGTACTAGTTAATATTCTATTTTTAGCTTGCTATTCTACCAGCCAAGAACATTTATCCAAGGCCCATAGACAATGTAGAAATGCTAAGATGTTTGAAATATGATTTCTGTTTTCACAAAGTCCTCATTTAAGCTGAGAAAATACACTTACAAAGATGAGGCCTTCAATAATGGTTATTCAGGGCAAGGAAATAGTATAGGGAAGAGAGTGAATAAGTTACTCTGGGATGTGTGGGATGAGTAGGAGCCACTGAAAACTTTCATAAAAGGGATCATAATCACCATGAGGTTACTTATTTTTCAAAGTAACATGACTATGTATACAAAATATTAACTGTATATGAGTCMACCTCTGGATTATGATTGATATCATCATACCTATGGAAAAATCAATAGATTTTATTATTGTACTTGGTTACTGCAATTTTCCCAAGAATCGGATGTGATTTGTTTTGGTTTTCATTTTTTTTTTTTTTTCAGGAATGGGGCACCAGGGATTGAACCCAGAGGCAATTTATTACTGAGCCACATCCTCACCCCATTTTTAAAATTTTTATTTTTATTTTATGTTTTTGTTTAGAGACAGGATCTTGCTAAATTGCTTACAGATTTAGCAAGGGACTTTATGAARTGACCCAGGACATTATTTTTATCTTGCACATTCACTGCACCATGACTGATCCTGTACATAAAACCTCTTGAGTGACTATCCCACAACTTTGCTACATAACCTGCTGAGTTATATTCTACAGCTAAATAAGATGTTTAAATAACTCCTTAAATGTTATGAATTCTTATTTAATTTCACAGATTTAAAGAAGTTCACTATTTTTAGTTAGGATATTGGCTTTAATTGTATTGTTATATTATCATTTCCTATAGTAAATACTTGTGAGGAAACAAATTACTCAAGAATAGGTTAAATAAATTACAATTGCAGCCCCCAAAATGATTAAAAAGTGATATTAGCATGGAAATATGTATATGACATATTATTAAATGGAGTAACCTGATTATTAAATATGTAATTTGATCTTATTTTTATTTCAAAGATGAAAGGTATTTGTATGTTTGAATATATGTATGTATATTCATTGTTTGTTTTTGCTTTAGATAGTTTACACACACACACACACACACACGAATACATGTAGCACAGAAGAGACAGAAGGAAAACAAGACAGAGGGAGAAACAGAAATAGAGAAATAGTAATAGATACACTCTCTTCTTTCATTCTCATATTAATTTGGAAAATACACTAGAAACTAAGAACTAGAAGAGCAAAAGAAGTTGGTTAAGAATAATTATTTGGGGGAGATAGGAGCAAAGGTGACTGATTATTTGCATTTTCTAATTATTTAGTAATTATGTTATCTTTGTAATTTGTGTAGTTAAAACCTCTTTCATATCTAAATTTTAAGTTAGAACAGTTTAATATACAAATTTTCAGTCATTTCTAATGAAGGGTATATTAACACAATATATTTTTATCTTTAGCCCACAAATAAAACTCACAGTACACTTCCTAACATTGGAAATAAAATTTTGGTACACAGCGAATAAATATCACTCAACAAAATAATTTCTGAATGACTGACTTTAATAAATTATTACATGAAAATGTTCCACCAAAAAGCATACATTAAACATCTCCCCCAATAATCCCTAAAAACATCCTAAATTCAACACCAAGAATTTTGTCTATTGAAATCAACATTATACAGTTACACATAACATACATATTCCAAAATAACAGGAAAATAGGGCATTTTAAAATAAAAAAAAAACTTAAAAGCCTTCCAATCAAGCATTTAGACGTCATTTTAATATTCTATCAGTTTAGCTAGGATTAAGAGAATTGATAATTGTTTTGTGCAAAATGGAAGCATGTGGGTTTAAATGTCTTTTAATATAACACTACTAAAATCAAAGTAAGGGTTAAATTAGGGATATATATTTCCTGTACTAGTTTATTTTGGGCAGTGATTTTAAATAACATACACTTTCTCTTATTTTGTGAAATCCCTTTTCTCTATTATTTTAGCCCATGACTCAGGATTTAAGAAACTTTATTATTTTTACACATTTTCAATATCAGTGTCAGTACCTAAATAGCTTATTTGAAGGATGGTTCTACAGAAGGCATATACAATTTATAGACACCTAATTACAATTATGTACAACTTGGGCAATAGTGAAAAATATTGGTTTTATTTCAAGTTAAAACAATAAATGGACTCACATTTTCAAAGTGTGTGATGTAAATATAAATTACTGAGATATCATTATTCTATRAATAGCTCATTATCTTTCATTAAGAAACTTTTAAGCTCTTTCTGATCTAAAATTGCGTTATTATTTATGTTACCATTTTCTTGGTCATTATGAAACTTAAATTCAATGTAAAGGTTTATTTAATATATTTAAACTTATTCACAAATGATTTCTGAGAAAACATTATTTTCAATAATATAACAATATTCATAAAATATATATAAAATAATAATGTTCAAAAATTTCCTATTTTTTTAAATTAACATTCTTCAAGTGATCAATTTATTTATTTACTTACTTTGGGGGTTCTGGGGATTGAATTCAGGGACACTTACCCAGTGTGTTACATCCCAGCCCTTTTTATGTTTTACTTAGAGACAGGGTCTCACTAAGTTGCTTAGGGCCTTGCTAAGTTACTGAGACTGGCTTTGAATTCCCTGGCTTTCAACTCCTGTCTCAGCCTTCAGAGTGGCTGGGATTACAGGCATGGGCCAACTCACCGGGCTGATCAATGCAATGACATAGGCTGATCATTTAATATGAAATCATATGAAATCCTGTAGAATCTTTGTGTCTTTAATTTCAATTAAATATTCCTTTATATATTAATGAAAACTTAATAAGTAAATATTTATAAAATTTAATATTTTCTAAGGAAATATGGAAAGAATTATACCATTAAATAAAGTTATATTCAAGGGAATATTATCAGGGTTGATTGTTCCCTTTGGATCTTAGAAAGTAAATAATAGTTTAGTACTACATTTTTACTTAATTCTCCAAACTCAGCATTATTTCTGCTATTCAAGAGGTGATTTCATTCATCTAGTTGATTTCAATACTAGTTGCTATAAACAGAAAATAACATATTATTATAGTAAAACAAAAATCTCTAGACATATTTGAGGGAAATGATTTGCTGGGAATATACAAACATCTCAATTTCTCATTTCATCCTATCTCAGATGTTATTTCCCTAGATGCTGCAAATCTTTTTAGCTCTGAATATCTAGCTCAATACCAGAAACACTTAACAATCTATTCTGGTAGGAATTAAGTTTGGTACTAAGGGGGCCACATGGCTGAATGAGAAGTCCTAAATCCCATGCTGATAATACATACTACTGGTTATTACTTCAATTTCATGAAGTATTCTAGTTCTAGTAGTATAAAAAGTCTTCTAGTTTTATCTATGAAATTGTTTACTTACATATGATCCTTCAAAGTGATCCTTGACATCTCATCCTGTACAAACGCTACAGAAAGTTTAGTGCTCAGTGTATGAAATCCCCTGCAATTCCTTTTGAAATCTCAAAGCCTGCATTACATAACCTGCTGAGTTTTCTAACACTCTAATATTACACAAAAAAGGTTTAAGAAACTCCTTAAATCTTCTGAATTCCTACTTCATCTTATAGATTTAATTATGTCCATCATCTTAATAGCTAGCAGTTCTTTCTTCAGGGAAAGACAATCTCTGGATACCAATACAAGATTTTAAGCTCTGAAAATTAAAAATGTGTTGATGAATATGGAGGTTTTGATAGATCCTACAATTTCTGAGGTAACATGGGCATGTGAAAAACAGTACGAGGGCTCTGCAGCCCATAAGTATGTCTGCATACTCAGATACTTAATCAGTGTGGTCTGGACTCAAGTCTTATGCAAGATGTATGGCAAGTTATTGGTTTTTCAAAGTCTTCGCATTTTTATCTGCAAAAATGAAGCTAATAATACCTACCCTGAATAAGTGTTGTGAAGATGAGATATAACATTTGTAAAGATCCAGCAGAGATGATGTAAGTTCTCTATAAATAGTAACTATTTATTTTCATTCATTGTCTCTGCACTGAATTATTGATTAAAGCAGCATTTCAACTCTGAGACAAGTATGAGACTAGTTAATACAAGGATGTGCAGAGAACAAAGAAATGAATAAAAGTTCTTTGGATATTTTTTACAAAGTTACTTTCTCATTTAGCTGTTTTCTAAATACAGACTTTATGTCTGGATTAGTGAAAAGGACAAGTGTCACCTTCATAACTTTTATGGCTTTATTGTAGAAAATTATATGATAATGACCTTGAACTCCTGTGGAATTTCCATAACTAATGTGTAAGTATATCACTACCATGAAATTGCTGTCTTTTGGTATCTGTGAACTAGTAAATAAAGTGATAGAATTTAGAGCAAAAGCTTTCATTATAAAGTGCCTATGATTGTCATTTAAACCTGGAGTAAAGTACGCACATATTAAATAGTAGGTAAAATTCTTAAATAAATAAAATGCCTCACTGATTACAGTTTTATTGAACAACGGCCTCAATTGACCAAAATTCTAACTTGCACAGTGCACAGGCAACTGCTTTTAGCTAAACATCAGTTTTAGAAGAAATAATATATGCACATTCCCCACCATACATTCATTAAAAAACCTGAATCCAAATGCATGATCATCGACGAATCCAATTATTTCTATGATTAGAGTACCTAGATGGTTTCCTTGTTTTTATTGGGCTTAACATATTTAAATTGCGTGCAGAGGTTAATGAAAGTGATCAAGGAGCATTCCACTTTCAGAATTATCAGGACATATAAAGCTTTATGCATTTTCATAGTAAGAGCAACCTGATTATTAGCTTTTCATTTGAGGCAGTTTATCTACAGTTCAAAAATGCTTTTACTGATTAAAGTCCAAAGTATCTTTTTCATTTTTAACAGAAAGGCCTACCATTTAATTAAAATAGATTTTTCCAACTATAAGTAATTGAATGAATGTTCTAAACCCGTGACTAAAATTGGCAATTTTTGGTAAATAAGAACAAAGATTGTCAAAAGACTTTCGAGAACACAGTTCTACTGGGAGGGCTCCATGGAGGAAGTGCCTCGTGGTCAAGAAATGAATGGCGCTTCTTTTGCTTTCGTTCAATTCTTTCCTGTCTTTCTTTCTTTTCCTAAAGAAAAAAAAAAAAAAACCAGAAAACTATGTATTTAGACACATATGTGAACATTATTTTAAATCAGGCTGCTTGCTGAAGAACAAAATAATCCATTTTAAAATTCTTCTATACTATTTCCTGGCTTAACTGGTTATAAAGGAACACAAGCTAGGGAATATTGCTACTATATCTGTATACTATCAAAAGGTGTTTATGTCACACCATCTTTGTAAATATTAAACATGATGATATTAAAATTTCTGCAAAATAGGAAAAACACACCTATAATTCTATAGCTGAAAAACAGTAATTGTTAGAATTTGGTGATTACTTTCTGAGAACAGATGCTCAGAAGTAAATTTACTGGATGCAAAACTTGCATGTGCCAGCATAGCAAGAGATCCTCCATATTTTTTACCAATAAATGAAAGTTCAACTTTCATATTTGTTTATTATTGAACCTAAGTATATATTCAAACATTTCTTTAGTGGTTGAATGAATTTTCTGTCTGATTATTTGGCCCATCTAACTGTATGGGCACTGGGGCCCTTCATTTTAATACTTTGTGTATTTTCAAATAAATATTATCTTTTCATCAAATATTTTATCAATATTTTTGCAGGCCATGTCAGTGTTACCATTGTTAGCCCTTAACTTTACAAAAAAAAAGGCATCAATAAATATTGCAACCATAGAAAATAATTTAAAGGGTAATGTCTTCAAAACGCAAACACAGTTAAAGAAAAGGAAATATGACCAATATTTCTGAAATTCTCTGAACCTGGCCCCCATCATATCTTTCTCTCCCCCTTATTCCACTGAATTCATCCTTACTCTGAATTTGATGCTTATCATTTGATGCTTATATCACATTCTAACATATGCCAGGTTGTGAGKTAACATATAGGTCTATTATTCTATTGGCACAATGCTGCCTCGATTTCTGTTTATTCAGTCAATTGTAAACATGGATAGCTCTTTCTGTGGGTCAAGTCTAAAGTGATTATAAAATCCAAACACACAGATATTGATCCTGATAAGCTTCAAAATGTACAGATAATGAACAAGTAAATACACAACACATAATTCCAAATTGTATGAATTTCTATGAAATATAAAAATAAGTATTATGATAAAGAATAAAAGAGAGCACTTACTTTGAAAGGAAAGGGGATTTAGGGAAAGTCACTTAGAAGTGAGACCAAACTTGGTTAGATAAAGGAGAGGGGGGCCAAAGAGAATAAAAAAGAGAGATGAACAACATCGTATGGAGCTTTGCAGGCCATGTCAGTGTTTAGAACTTAGGTTAAAAAGAAAAATGCAACAAGTGACCTAGAGAGGGAGGGCTGGAGCTGGAGGTAGGAGGAAGAGGAGTAAACAGCCATGTAGCAGACTGAGAGTTTGGGAAAATGGGGACAGGAAAGCAAACGTTAGATTGGCTAGAAGCACTGGAAAACCTATGACTTTCCAAGCATGATCTTGGTTTAGTGATGGAGACAGAGACAAGACTGGAATGGATGAGGCTGAAAAGGGTTAGTAGCATTGTGGAAGTGGTGCAAAACTTTAACAGTTTAGACATGAAGAGAAGCAGAAAATGGGGGACCAGAGCTGGGCTGAAATGCCAAGCTGAGAGCTGATTTTTTATTTAAGATTACATATCCTACCACATAATGGGAATATTGCAGAGGGTAGAAAGAATGCTGCTTCGCAAAGGAGTGGAAGGGTAAGTTTGTATTTTATTGCTTGACTGAGGAAGAGTTCAGTTTCATATTATTTTGGAAATGTTATCTTTCACAYTTTTGCCTTTTTATCATACCAGATGAATTATAGAACTGTCATTTCACTGCACATACTATCTTCAACGAAACAGCTGAGTTTCTGGGGATTAGTATGAAAACTGAACATTTATCTCCCTATACCTAATGTTAATAACCTTGGTCTTTCCACTCATTATCTCTCCACTTCTTTACTTCTTGCTAACACTACAAAGTTTGATGGTTTCTTCCTACTGGTGTTTTCCTCATATTCCTCAAAGAGAAGCAAGATCAGAGATACCCTTGGAAAACCCTGTCTCTGCAGATTGATAGCTTGGGAAGAGAGGCATTGTGATAAGTAATCTATGCATCTTTCATCAGTACATACATGGGTGAATAAATGTCTCAAGAACAATTAGGTGATGCAAAATCCATGCACATACTATTATTCACACACAGAAAAAGACATGAAGAGAGGTAAGAATGAGGTGGTCCTTTTCAGTCTTTAACATCCATGTCCTTGGCACCATGTCATAGAATGTTTGCATGCTTCCTAATCCTACTAAAGCAAAGAGGAAACTTCCTTTCAGAATCTTAATTGAGAAAGGAAAAGATGGAGTCCGAACATCCTTAGTCATTTTAGTACTTTAGAGAGAGGTAGATCATCCTCCTAGGTGGGGGTAAAGCAGTGACCAGTCTGTGTTCACAGAAATTGTCTGAATGAGCCCTTTTTTTKGGGGGGTGGGTGGGKGTCTATTCCATTTAACATGAAATGGTGGGGAGAAAAACTTGAGAAAAGTCTGATCTTAATTAGTAGGGTGCTGAAAAGCTGAGACAGGATATAGGCAATTATTTTTCTTAATATCAATGAATACGATGAAAATGAGCAAGTGACTAAATAGTACAGTCAAACATCAAAAATAGTGTTGACTAATCATCACTTAATCGTTGTCCATTTTCTAGGAAACATAGAGATAAAACTAAAAACTGAAACTTTTACATTTACTTACTGTGCTACTAGCAGTTAGTATACATCTTCTTAATATAAAAAGACTTTTAAACATCTTTGAGAACAATGCACAAGAATTTAACCTAAGGAAGCCATCATGAAACACCACCTTCCTCATTCAGATATCAAATCAATTTCAATCACTTTATTACTACTTCTCTGCATGGAATTATCGTAAAAGTGGAACAAAAGTCAACACATAATGATAAATTATGTTGATTCCTTAAAAATGGGATCACATTGTATTACATTGGGGAGAGCTGATAACTTTATAACCACATGACAAGGTTAAGTGTTTCTATCTGAGTGCAGTTTTGTTCCATTTTCTTAAGTCTTCATTTGGGTACTTACAGGAGTTCTAAAGTTTTCTTTATATCAGTCTTGCATATTTCTTAAGTTTATTCCTAAGTGTCTTTTATCCTATCATCAAAAGCTAACTTTGATCTCATGTCTCTGTAACTACTGTTGATTCTAAAAGTTTACATGAAAAAATAAACAASAATAGTCAGAAATACTGTGAGAGAAGAACCAAATATTTGAGCTTATTCCAGACAAATATTTAGACATATGAAGCTTATTAATAAGATACATATATGGAACAGAAAGTCAAGAAACAGACCCTCAAATATGGGAATTGATCATATAATAGATAGCAACTCTAATCAGTGGCAAAAATTGGGGTATTCTGTAAAAGATTAGTTGGAATAAATAAAGTTGGGATCATATTTATCACCATGCATCAGAATAAAGTCTAGGTAGAACAAATGTTAAGACATTAAGATATTAAAGTCATCAGATGAAAATATGAGAGAACTTTGATTAACCTCAAATTACGGAAAACATCTTTTCAACTATGCTTAAAATCCAGAAGTCAAAAAAAAAAYGATAAATCTGGGACCCAAATACAAACTTAAATTCTTTGTGGCTTAAAAATACTATAAGGAAAGTTGGGAAGCCAACAATAGAGTGGGAAAAATATTTGCATCTTATATCAGAAATGATTAGCTAATTTCCCTAATACATATAAAAGCTTCTATAAATCAATAAGAAAAAGACCAAAAATCTAACAGAAGTATGTACTGTCCATGAAGTGATGGTTTACAGAAGAAAAATATAAAAGTGACCCTTCTATAAATGAAAACATGTTCAAGTTTAATCAGAGAAATACAAATAAAAAAGACCCATGGTGACATTTCTTAATTAGCAGAAGAAGAATTTGAAAAGAGTATCATAGCCAGGTATGGTGGCATACCCCTGTAATCCCAGTGGCTTGGGAAGCTGAGGCAGGAGGATTCCAGAGTTCAAAGCCAGCCTCAGCAACTTAATAAGGCCTCTACATAAAATACAAAAAAAGGGCTGTTGGCTGTGGCTCAGTGGTCAAACACCCTTGGACTCACTCCCTAGTACACCCCCTGCAGCCCAGTAGCAAAAACCCCTAAACAAACAAAAAGAGTATCATTGAAATTCTACTAGATAGAATGTGGAGAATTTTAAWTTTTTTTACTGACAAATCAGGTGAATGTGTAATTGTTCATAAAACTGTGTTTCCTTCATTCAGTAAGTACTATCCATGAGAATACATTATTTATTAAAATCATTATCTATAAAAATTGATTAATAAAATAATCTTTTGCATTTTAAAATAAAAAACTGTATTTAGTTTGATGTCAACAAAAAGCAACTTTCATAACAGAAAGTAAGTTGAAACCAATTATATTAAAATCAAGCTAGATACTATTCCTTCTAAACCTCAAACTTACTGTCTTTCATTTAAAAACAAATAAGACTTTCTTCTTGACATTATCAGAAATAAAAATAAATAAACAAAAAGAATAAAAAATGGAATAACTGCCTCACTCATTAGTGTTATTATGTGTCATAATCAATTTTCACCTAAAATAACCTAAATGTACTTGGTATGTTAGATGCACTCAATCTGTTGATGTCAGATGCAAGAACTACAGCAAGAAAGAATGGGAGTGACTGGTAAAAGGCTGAATGGAGTTTCAGCCTGGGTGCTTCAGGAAGCAGTGGAAGCATTAACAGAAATGATAAATAGAAGGAGAGAATGGAGTCAACAAGGCAGTTCCAGGAGAAACAGTCAATAGGTATGGGGTACAAGGATTTAGGAAGAGAAAAGGCACAGAAAGGGCATTTAAAAAACACCAGTGGTTTAGCAAATACCTACCAGCCATTTTTCATATTCATTGATAGCTTGTTTATCTTTATCTTTTTTCTCAGCTCTTTTCAGTTCTTCCTTCCTTTTCTCATTTATTTTCTCTTTTTCCTTTTGCTTGAAAAAAGCTTCCTTTTTTTCATTCCTATGTAGGATGATATAAGACACCAGAAGTTAAAGGAGAATAGATAATAAAGATTCCCTAAAACAGCCCTGGCAAAGAATGAGATTGAGAGGCATTAGTACATATCAAGAGCTACAGTTTAAATGGGTGGTGTCCCCCAAAAGCTCAGGTGTGAGACAATGCAAACAAGTTTAGAGGTGAAATGATTGGGTTGGGGAGCCTTAATTTAATCACAGAATTAACCCCCGTGACAGGGATTAACTGTTAGTAACTGTAGGCAGATAGGGTGTGGCTAGAGGAGGTGGGTCATTGTGGGTGTGCCTCTGGGGTTTTCTATTTGTCCCTGGTGAGGAGAGCTCTCTTTTTCTAGGTGTTTCTTGGCGGCCACTTCCTGCTTCTTCTACCACACTCTTCTCCCATGATGTTCTGCCTCACCTTGGGCTTCAAAGAAGGGAGTCAGACTCCCATGAGACCCAAAATAAACTTTTCCTCCAYTAATTGTTCTTGTCAGGTCTTTTTGGTCATTGAAGCAAAAAAAGCTCACTAAAATATTAAGTAAATAAATTTTAGAAAAGCCTCAACTGTCATTAAATCTATCAGAACATTTTTTTTTAATTTTAGATTACCATTTTTCAACAGCAGTTAAATTATCTTTCTTTTTCTCAGCAACAGTTTCTTCTTCTTTCTGTTTCTTTGCTCTTTCATATTCTTTCTCCTTTTTAGTTTTCTCTTTAAGATACTCCATTTTTTTCTCTTTCCATTTTTCAAAAGCCTGAAAAAAGTTCAGAATGAATTTCTTACTATGAATATTATAAAATAAGCAAAAATATGGTGAAGCATTGATTTTTGGTTTCATATGTTTAAAAATAACTAAGAAAGGTATTTAAAGCTTGTGAATACCTGTAGGGCTTCTCCTTTCCTCACAGCATTTTCTTCCTCAGTTTTCTTCTTGTTTTTCTCCTCAAGCCTCTTTTTGGCAGCTATTTTCTTGGCCTCCTTTTCTTTCATGGCCTTCCAGGCCTCAAATGATGCTAATGCTTCTTCTCTCTTGGCAGCTTTTTTCTATTTTGGAAAAAATAATAGGTATACAGGTAATGTAGGAGTAGACACACAAAYCTTAACATACATACATATACAAATATATGTCTATTTCTCTTTAATTCCCAGATAATCATCACATGAAGATATTAAGTTCCAAAGTAGATAATTTATTTAGAATGGTTTAGGCAATTTATTTCCAAAAATATGCAAGCCAGGAGTGGTGGCACACACCTATAATCCCAGCAACTTGGGAGGTTGAGATGAGAGAACTGAAGATTTAAGACCAGCCTCAGCAACTTAATGAGACCCTGTCTCAAAAAAAAAGGAGAGGGGGGCTGAAAACATCCTTTTTCTAAAAACATTTCTCAGATACTAACTTAATATTAGTCAGAAGCAGGAAAATTATTATTTCTGGAAATGCACAAAATAAGTGCTATCGAAATAAACTTTAATAGGTTAAGGGGTATTATAAAAATGTTCAGTCAAAAAATTCTAGAAAATTATAGGCTTATAAATAAGGGGAAGGTAAATAGGCCAAGTCATATAGTAAGAACAGATTTTTGGTTTGAATGATATCAAGACATAAATTTGTTACCACATTAACATATTCTAAATGTTGAAAATATGCCAGACTGGAAAATATGTATGTGATGGTACAGCAAGGATACTATCACATAATATCCAATAGTTGACTTAGAATAGTATCATTAAATGACATAAAACTTATCATGGAGGAAACTCAACTGAGAAGTAAAGTACTGTGCAGCTACAGTGTGAAGGGCTACAGTACTGCCCACAGCCGTGTAATGCCCCCAGTGTGGGGACAGGTACACAGCCCAGAGACAGAGGTCTGCTCATACAGACGGATTTGTCATAGTGCTGTTCAATTTGAAGACATCTCTCTTAATCAGTTTTAGTATTGAGCAGACAATGAAGGGGTTTTTCAGAGTTTTTACTTTAGAAGACAGGAAAGAGCTGAGCATTGTGGCCTATTAGGCAAGAGTGAGAGGAAGAGATTGAAAGTTCAGGAGGGACTGGAACAAGAGTCCAGCTTGGGTCCATGGGATGGAACGTGGGTCAAGAACTCAGGTATAGTCTTGAAGACACACCTAAAACTCAAGAGCGAAAAGAGGAAAACTAAAGATAGATGTCTGAAGACCCTTTGTATTCTTGGCTAACTGATGTCAATTTTTAAAAGTGAATTGGATGGTTACAAACAGTAAGAAGTTCAAAATTAGTTATGCCATATCYATCCTATGCATAATAAACAAAATAAAACTCTGTCTGTATATAAAAAGTTCTATTTATGACCAACTAAAATTATATAAAGTACCAGAGAAATAAAATCAGAAATCAAGTCTTTTATATACAACATATTTCAACATTTAAAAAACATTTGATTTAGAAATGTTAAACATTCAGATACTTTACTGATATAACAGTCCAGAACATTTTCGACTTCTTTATTTCACAAATACCTGTTCATTTTGGATTCTTAAGTTTTCACTTTCAATCCTTTTTATTCTGTGCATTTCATGAAGATATACATTTTTCTTTTCCAACCACTCCTGTTAGAATAAAGAAAAGGTTCTATGCTATTCAAGTATACCAAATGAATTAGAAATCTTAACTATATTCAAAATACTTGACAAAGCTTTAAAAACCAAAACATAAAGTTCATAAATTTTTCTTTTTCCTAATAAAACTTGAGGATATTCAAGAAAATTACTACTAACAATATTGTCTTCAAATATTTAATATAGTGGCCAAATATATCAAAAATTTTCCCCAAAGTTACTTGTACCATTTCATAAAGTATACTCTTCTGTATAACAAACAAAAAGTGACTCTTACTGAAACTGAGAAAAATTGAGAAAATCTTTTTTTCTGTGTAAATTAACAATGTTTCTGAAGAGGAACTACTTTTGTTCATAAACAATATTAAATTTTAGGATGAAAAAGGATAAAACATATATCTTATATTATTTTGGCTTTTGTTATATTTCTATAAATTATTATGGTTTCTCCTCTTAGACATGACAATGATCATCTTTAAAAAAAAAAAAAAAGCACAGAAGCTAATAATTGAGTAAACTAGCTTTGGTTTGCTTAAGTATTTTAAAGGAAACTTTCCTCTGCCCCAAATTAAGTATCAAACCATACTTTTTGGGGGCTGGGAGTGCAACTTAGTGGTAGAGGGCACGATAAGCATTTGTGAGGCCCTGCGTTCAACCTCAAGCACACAAATCAAAAATTATAAGACCGAAACAAGAACAACATCACCACCACCAAAGCATCAAAATTTCTGGTAAAGTCTTTTCATTCTTTGATATGGAAATTATTAATTCTTTTTACCTGATAAACAGCTGCCCTTATGTGATCTGCTCTGTCAGGTTCTAAACTCTGCTTTTGGTCCAAAACTTTCAAAGTCCCCAGATAGTGAGAAGAGGTAGTTGCTGATGGACTTCTCCTTATAGAACTGGATTTCTTTAAAAACTCAGAGGTCATTAATCTGAAAAATTTCAAATGAATCAAGATAAAGTGTTTCAATTGCAATTGATAGAAGAGAGCTCTATTAGAATACATGCACTTATATTTCAAAACTATTGTAATTTATTTAATACGTTATAATTACTTTCATAATGATATAGCTAAAAAGTAGTTTCTTTCTTAGTGTACGAAGAGTGCTATTCAATCTAACTTAAACTTTATAACTTTAAGTGATATCATTTTAAGCTGTACTTTTTAGGTGTTTACAATTAAAACCTTTCAAAAAAAAAACACGGGGTGGGGGTCCTGGGGATGTGGCTCAAGCAGTAGCACGCTCGCCTGGCATGCGCGGGTCGCTGGGTTCGATCCTCAGCACCACATAAAAATAAAATGTTGTGTCCACCGAAACTAAAAAATAAGTATTAAAAAAATTCTCTCTCTCTTTCTCACTCCCTCTCTTAAAAAACAAAAACAAAAACAAAAACAAACAAATAAACAAACAAAACACGCGGGCTAGGGCTGTGGCTCAGTGGTAGAGCTCTTGCCTTGCCCTTGTGAGGCACTGGGTTGGATCCTCAGCACCACATAAAAATAAATAAATAAAATAAAGATATTGTGTCCATCTACAACTAAAAGATTTTAAAAAATGGGTCATATCTCAAGTTATACAGAGAAAATAATATTAACAAAGTGGGTTTTAAGCACTTTTTAACATTTTCTTATAATACTTTCTGTTACATAAACCATTCTAAACATAAAGTTAGAAAATATAGTACCCTCTGTCAGGGGTTAGGAGACAATCTGGGCAACCTGTGGCTTGATAGATAAAGCTGAATGCACCACAGATCTGTTCCTGCATTTATGTATAGGCAAGTCCTGCTTTCCTGATACRGGGCAGAACTGAGCAGTTAACAACAGGGACTGAACTGCCTACAGTGTCTAAAAAAAGTACTTAATAGCCATGTACCTAAGTTGGCTGGCCCTGCTCTACTTGACTAATTATAATCATAATCTGAATAAAAGATGCAGAAGGTTTTGATTAGCACAGAGAAGTTAGCAATAGTCATCAGCAGCAATACATATGAACCTGTATCAATTCTTATCACTGTAGTCCATAAAACCCACTTAGTCCATAAAACCCAGAGACTTCAGGTACAATTTTTTATGTGTTAGACAAAGATACTTATAGAGAAGAATAATGCTGGACTTCAGCTTTACTATCACAATGACATTAAGGAAGAAGAAAATGTCCTTTGAGGGAAGATCCTGGAGAACGAATGTATTAYGTATATTCCAGGCTTTAAAACAATCAGGAATAGATGTAAACATTTTATTATTTTTATTATTTGCTATAAAAGAATATAATCCACTGTAGGGATTAATAATGAAGTATCTATTCCAGTCATCTGAGAGGTGAAAAAAATTAAGAGAAAATCCACAATGCCAAATCAAATTTACCTTATAAAATTTAAATTTAAATGAGTCTTGCTGGAATGGAAACCCAAGAATGAGGTATGTTGATGACTTAATTACCTGCCACCTGCACTGGATGCTCTGTTGTTTGTGGACTTTTKATTCTTCATATTTTTATCTTCGATCACCTTCTGTTAAATAGAAGATTTAATCATTTTAATAATCCATAGATGGATTATTCACCAGAACAATCACGGTTAGGCTTAGAGATGAAACTATTAGTAAAGCAATACTTTTTATGCATCTATCATGTGTCAGGCACAGAAGGTATTGGGTACAAAGCTGTGAATGAAAGGCCTTCAGGGATACTAACTTTCAGAGAGGAGTGACTGGCCATAATCATAAACAAATGTGACTCACGAAGGAGGTGAAAGTGGGACAACAACAGAGTGACTAGAGAGGGGCTGAGGGGCTGCTGTAATGCTGATTAGAGACTGATGAGGAAAGGGCTCACGTGATGACCTGTGGGATAAAAGGAGAGGTGCTTAGAGCCCCAGAGTGATTTTTGAAAAACACAAGAAGTCAGTGGTACTGAAGCCTGGGGAATGGTGGGGGAGTGGAAGAACACGTGGTCAGAGAAGACTCACGTGAAATCATTAGGTGGTGGTGAGGAGTTTTGGTTTAATTCTCATGATGAGGATCCAACAAAGATACTTTAACAAGGGGTTGATTAGACTCAAACCTAAGAAAGTTCACTTAGTAGAGACTGAGAATAAAGCCAAGAGTCTAGCCAAAAAAATATGTTATAATCTTACTTGTTACTTATTCTAATAAGCATGTAAGTTGATTATTCTAATTTATAATTGCTTCTATTAGGCATTTCAAGGGCTCCACCTATAAGCTGTACACTATTTAATTTTTTTTTTTTTTTTAGTTTTTGATACTAGGGATTGAACCCAGAGGTACTTTACCATTGGGTCACATCCATAGCCCTTTTTATTTTGAGATAGGTTCTTACTAAGTTGCTTAAGACCTTGCTAAATCACTGAGGCTGGTCTCAAACTTGCAGTTCTCTAGCCTCAGCCTCTCTAGTAGCTGGGATTACAAGTGTACCCCCATTGCACCTGGCTAAGACTATCTCTTTTGGTTTTTGGTAAGAGGGATTGAACCCAGYGGTGCTTAACCACCAAGCCATGTCTCCAGCTCTTTTTTTTTTTTAATATTTTATTAGAGAGAGGGAGACAGGATCTCACTGAGTTGCTCAGGAACTCACTAAATTGCTGAGGCTGGGTTTGAACTAGCAACCCTCCTGCCTCAGCCTACTGAGTCACTGGGATTATACAAGTGTGCCACTGTGCCCAGCTAAGACTATCCTTTCTTTTAAGAAAAAAAAAAAAATTCTATTTACACAGATGGGTGGGTGGGTGCTAGCAGTAAAATAAGAACATGGATATGAATACATTTCTAACTCGGCAGTAGTTTTTTTCTAAGGAAGGCAGCTAAGGATAATATACTTGGAACGTGACTTAAGATCCTTTCCCATACATTTAATTTTAAAAAACCCTATATATTATGAAAGTCCTGTTCAGTCACTAGTGTTCTGCCAGAACTACTTTCCTCCCCTAGTAATGTAAGCATTGCTGCTAGCAAACTGCAGTAATAAGAGATAAACACTAAACTCAGGAGAAATAAAGAGTAAAAATGCTATACTATTCATTTTAAAAGTATAGTACTTTGGTACAATTAATTGTAGGAACAAGTAATTCTGTGTGCCATAAATMTGTTTCTCAAGATTTTAATAATAATGTTCCTTATGATAACTTTAATAATAATGTCCCTCATAATTCTGTGTGCCATAAATCTGTTTCTCAAGATTTTAATAATAATGTTCCTCATGATAATCTATAAAGCATTTCTTGAATTTCAGGAAAATAGTTAAAATGTTTTCAAATTATATTTAAAAAAGCTTTCACTATCTCAAAAATCTCAAAAATTGTTCCAGACAGCTACATTTTTAATAATGGGAAGACTTATAGAAACATATACAGTTATAGGTATTTCTGAGATACTATAAAGTACATTATGACCATACCACTGGTGATTTTTAACGGAACACTGGGTTTCATTATACGAATTGAAAATCTTTCTTGAAGATAAAGTTCTACTGAATTAAGTGGGAAGCATTTGACAACATCATGTTGCTGTCAAAAGATGAGTTTCTCACAAGTAATTCAGAAGTATAGAACACAGAAGACACAACACTTTCAAGCCCTTTTTCAAGTTCCAAGCTGTAGTACAAAAGAGATAAGTTTGTAGAAATACCTTTGCAGATTCTGCTGCGTTGGTATGAGACTGAAATAGCAAGGGATCCATTGTCAAGTCACCATCTGTCATCAGTTCAGCCTTTTCCTTTTCTTCTTCAAGGCTGTCAGCAGGCACTTGAATTTCCTGGGGTTTCTCAAGTTCAGCAGCAACACAGTTTATCATATCTGAATTCTCTTCATTTTCATTTAATTTCAAGGAATTATGGTTTTCAGGAAATTCTCCATTCTGATCTATTTTGAGAAGGAATAACAACACTAAAATCTTCTCCTCAATTAAAAGTAGATAAGCAGATGCTATACCTTCTTTTAAATGAAGATTGTATATAACCTCTTTTTTCCTTTTTTTATTTTTTATTTTTTTATTTTTTTGTGCTGGGGATTGAACTCAGGCCTGAAGCATGCTAGGCAGGTGCTCTATCATTGAGCCACATCCCCAGTCCTATGTACTCTTTTTTCTTGCAAAATAAAATATGAAAAAAATGATCATAATGATATTTTTCCCCCAAAGTGTTCTACGAAAGAAAAATGTCTACTCTTCATCTAATGAAACACTTAACAAAACTAAATACTCTGAATAAACAGCATAGTCATAATTATAATGGAAGCACTACCCCAAACCAACACACATCAAAAGAACTAGTTGATATATAAACCAAGKAACTGAGATGGCAACATCTGTTCAGTTCTAAAGCCTGTGTGCTCTTGGCTGGAACAACAAACTGTGAAAACAGGAGGCACRTATCTGCATGCCACTGCAGTTACTAGCATCACAGGTGAGCTGTATACATGCAGAGAGAACCAAGAGTGAATGTAATTTTATGCAGAGAATAAAGCCAGTCCAGTTAGGTTCAGGCCCACCAGGATGCAGTGCTGCAGTGCGCCGTCCCATACCCAAGGGCACCAAAGACAGGTCTATTCCTTATTCCCTCAGTACTCCCAGGCACAGGTTCAGGGGAATGTCAGGAGGGGACTTGGTTGTTCTTTTATAGAATTGTGTCTTTTATTCAGATTCTACCACATTTCAGGATGCTTGACAGAAAGAAATCAGTGTTCTCTGTAGGGATCACCAACTTTCATTTCTACCAGGATCTACCTGCARGCCCAAACTGTATTTTCATCATTAAAAGTCTTAATTCTAGGGCTTTCATGATGGCCTTTTTTTTCCCCCTTTGAACTTATTTAGAGGTAARTGGGTTTTAAAATCCCATTATCATTACAGTCATATATTCACATGAAAAGCACACATGATTCAATTCATTACTGGGTTCTTTGGAGAAACAAACAAGAACTTTGGAGCCAAAGATTCCACCTCTGGCTCCAGCACTGACCTTGGCTATGTTTCCCAATGTCTGCACCTCAGTTTCTCTCCTCTGTAAAATGACAAAAATTATACTACATAGTAAGCACCTAATAAATGTTAGTTATGCCTCCCAGTCCTAGAAACAGCTGTGACTTTTAGCCCTAAGAAAACAAACCACATTCACAACTTACACCTCACATTTACTACGTGCTTACTATGGTACTGTTCAAGGCTTTACATGTATTATTATTATTACTTACACCTCACAACCACCCTATAAGGTAGATATTATTATTATCCACACTTTAAAAAAAACATTATACAAAGTCAGAGAGGCTTGTTACTTTGTTCATGTAGAGGTGCTAGATTCAAACCAAGGTTAAACCTCGGAAGTCCACCTAGCCATTATGTGTACTATAGAGACCACTGCAGCAATGTGCATAGTATAATAATTCACCTTAAGTGATCATTCCATTTGTGCCTAGAAGTAGGCCAGTGCCAGTGGCTAAATTGTACTCTATCATTTAATTTTCACAATAGTTTTTTTTTTAAAATATCTTTAATTAATTATTATTATTTTTTAAATGTGGTGCTGAGGCTTGAACCCAGCACCTCGCCTGTGCTAGAGGGGCGCTCTACCACTGAGCCACAACCCCAGCCCCACAATAGTCTTTTGAGACAGGCAAGATTTAGGGAAACTGAGGCACTGAGTGATTACTTCTGCACTTAGAGTCATACAGTCAACTATGCAGTCAGGATTGAAAAACCAGGGAAACACAAATATATATTTTCCCTGTAACGTGAAAAGTATCATTTTCCTTACAGTGTCCTAAACAACACAGAGTTCATAAATAATACACATTAGTTAGAATGTAATTACCTTCTATAGATGCTTTTCCCTCAGGTGCCAGTGAAAAAGAATTTCCAAGACTTTCTTTAAGAGCTGATGACGATAAACTTGATAACAATGGATCCTGTTTAATAAAAAAAATGTATTTAACATGTAAGTTTTGCTCCGAGTATTTATGGACATCATAGCATTATTAAAACCATCTTATAACTTTGGAATCTGCATTATTAGAAGTTTGTTGCTGAAACCTCAAAAAGCATTAAGCCTTCATAGTGGGACATGGAGCAGGAGCATGGGAGGAATAGATGAACTCTAGATAGGGCAGAGGGGTTGGAGGGGAAGGGAGAGGGCATGGGGTTATTAATGATGGTGGAATGTGATGATCATTACTATCCAAAGTACATGTATGAAGACACAAATTGGTGTGAATATACTATGTGTATATGAAAAATTGTGCTCTACATATGTAATAAGAATTATAATGCATTCTGCTGTCATATATAAATTAAAAAATTACATAAAAAAGCATAAGCCACTAGAGGTAAAAATGCTTCCCTTGGTGTTTGGGTCAGTAAAAGGGGTCACTAAAAGAGTCATTGTAGCTCTGTATCAAAATGTTATGTCTAAATTTGTTTTTAGCAATTTTTAAAACTCCTGCTCTTCTAAAATCAAATCTATTATGTATTTTWAAGGTAAAGATTTGATCCTGATGTCTCTTTCTCCAATATTCTTTTCAAGGACAGTATCAAGATAAAAGAAAAATCTTTAGTTTTTTCTTCTTCTTCATTTATTTATTTTTTTTTTTGGTACTTGAGATTGAACCCATGGCCCTCAACCACTGAGCCTTTTTGTTGTTGTTGTTTAGGCCCTTGCTAAGTTGCTGAGGCTGGCTTTGAACTCATGATCCTCCTGTCTCAGTCTCCCAGGCTGCTAGGATTACAGATGCGTGCCACCGTGCCTGGTAAATCTTAGYTTCAAACAATTATTACTAGTAGTCCAAATGAAAGCAACCTATAATACCAAGTAGACAGCTACTTCCAAATATTACAGGTGAAAAATGTACATAAATTTCAAGCACATGAACTTTACTCAAAATCTGAAAAGAAATCATTGTATTGTGTTCCAAAACCCCCAATTCTCTACAGAATAAACTAGCCTAAAGGTGATGATATTATAATGTAAGAATTTTATTTTTGTTGCATAAATAGCAATATTCTTTCCTTCAATATTTTATGAGCACATAGGAAATTATATATCAAAAGCAATAAGAAGAAAACATTTGGGAAAATGTCAGAAGGGCTGAGACGCTGGAGTCTACCTTGAAAGACAAAGTTACACTTGAAGAGATTTGCACATTTGTAGCTTTGGGATTTATGGTATATCTCAACCTGTAGAGTTCAAGTGGTAGAAGGCTACAGACTTAGTAGCCTGGCTTGAGAGCCCAGAAGAGTCAATACATTTGAGGAGGAAGTAGCCTTGGAATCTGCAGAATTCTTCTAAAACCTTTGGCTCATCTGCACATGGCATACAGAAGACCTCAGAAGACCTCAGAAGACCTTACGAAACCACAGAAGCTAGAAATTGGAAGAACTGAGCAGGAATTCCTACTCATATCTACTGCAAGGGAGAAAGAAGTAAAAACTTGTATCTAGACACAATATCTACTTACCAGACTATATGCTCACAGGCACACAATGCACTCTAGAATCTCTACAACACATCATTCATAATATCCTGTATTCTACTAAAAGTCACTAAGCAGATGAAGAAAGAAGACAACAACATAGACTCATGAAGGCAAAAAAGAAAATAAAATAAGACACAAAAAAACAATAGTAAAAAGAAACCAATCTTGAGATAACCTGACTGTTGAAATTATCAAAGACTTTAAAGTAGTTATTATAAGATTGTTCAAGAGCTTTAAGGAAAATGTATGCATGACAGCTGAACAGATGGGGATCACAGAGATGTAGAAAATACAAAAATACCCATGAAAACTCTAGAGTTAAACTCTGTAATAACTGAAATAAAAATTAACTGGAGAGACTTAATAGCAGATCAGAGATGGAAGAATAGATCAGTGAACTTGGAGAAATGCAAATTATTCAATCTGGAAAACAAGTGGAAAAAAAGATTAAAGAAACAGGGAAAAGATTAAAGACACATAGAACTTCAGAGATCCGTGAGATTCATCAAAAAAGTTCAATGTATGCATGTACAATTGTAGCCCCAAAAGGAAAGGAAAGGAAAATAATGTAGCAAAATTTAAAAAAGAAGAAGAAGAARAAAAAAAAAACTTCCCATTATGGCAGGTATTAGCTTGTAGATCCTAAAAGCTCTACTAACCTCACACAGAAAATATAAAGAAACCAGACTTATGTGTTTATAATCAAACTGTTGTAATTCAAAGAAAAACAAATCTTGAAAGAAAATAATACTGAAAACAGGTAGAAACTCCTATATTTTATATAGGAGTATAATAAAATGAGTGACTGTTGATTTCTCGACAGATACAGGAGGGGCCAGGAACAATGGAAACTGATAAAGAGGTAGGGGAAAGGAAACTATCTTGGTCAAAATGTTCAACTAATTCATCCTTCAAAAATAAAGATAAACCTATCACTGACCAATCTGCCCTTCAGGGAAAAAAAACAAAACATTAAATGGAAATAACATGAAGTGATAATCTGGATATATAGGAAGTAAGAAGAGCCTCAGAATCACTATATAAAAGAAAATTATAAATATTCATTCTTTTCTTCTTTTAATTCTTTGAAAATCTAAGATACAAAGTTTAAAAGCCTCGTTAGTGAAAATTATAACATGACATTGTGGGAATTGTGTCATGTAGATGTAGTATCCATGCCAAAGGCAGCACAATAGACGAGGTACTACAAGGAACTGAACTGTTGCGAGGCTTCTATATGGAATGTGAAATACAGAATCAACTCCATAGTGCAAACAGGGACAGTTTAAAGTTCAACAGAGCTGAGCGTATGCTCCTGTGATCCCAGTGACTCAGGATCTGAAGTTCAAGACCAGCCTCTGCAATTTAGTGAGGCCCTGTCGAAAATACAAAAGGGCCAGGAATATATCATGGTGGGTTCAATTCCCAGTATAATAAATAAATAAATAATAAATAATAAATAAATAAATGGAAAATAAAAACACAAATAAATGGCAGAAGGGAGTAACAGATGAATAACAAAACAAACCAAAGAGAAAACAAACAGTAACAAACTGGTCTTAAATCCAACTGCATCAGTGTTTATGTTAAAAGCAAATGGAGAAAACACTCATAAATTGACACAACATCAGAATTAAAATGCATAGATTCTCAGATTTGACTTAAAAAAAATGTGACTCAAACGTTATTATAAGACATTCACTTAAAGTAATCAGTAAGGATAGAGAAGATCTGAGTGATACTACAACCACCTTAATCAAACTGAAATTGTAAAACATTATATCCTATACCTGAAAAACAAGTGTACTTTGCTAATACAAATGGCACTTAACACAGGATACACTTAGGCTGGGCCATTACCAACTCTTAACAATCTGAAATCATATAAGCTATATTCTTTGGACCACAATAAATCTAGAGAAGACCCAAGTATTTGGGAAAAATGATGATTCCTCACAAAATAACCAATAGGTTAAAGAAAATCATGATGGAAAGAAAGGACATTGAAAAAGTAAGATGTTTAGCTGTATAAAAAAAAATGTATAGCTTTCAGTGGTTTTCAACAGAGGACTCAAGACTTAAAAATCAAGGAGAAAACTTTCAAACATAAACAAATCAGCCTGTGCTTAAACAAATTAAACAAATTGAAGAAAATAAAGAGAAGAAATAAAAATTGACAATTAGCTCAACTGAAAACAAACTATAGAGAAAATTAACAAAGCCAAAATTGGTTCTTTGAAAAGTTTCATAAAGCTAAACAATGCCTACCAACATTGAAAAAGAAAGATAAAAATCATAAATTAAATGTCAGAAATAAAAGATGAAATGATATGATGACCCCTGATCCTAAAAATGACAGGGGACTATCAAGAAAAAGCATGTTTATAAATTTGACATGTCAGGTGAAATAGACAAATTTATTTAAAAAAAATTACCAAACTGATGAAAAATCTCAATACCAATATATCTATAAAAAATAAAATTTAATGCAAAGAAATTTCCATGCCCAGATCATTTAACTGGTGAATCTTTTTCCTCAAGGATTCTTACCAAATTTAGAAAATAAAGGGTGAATATTTATTGCCTAACTCATCTGACACACAAGCCTGATAATAACCTTATAAGAAAAAAAATATAGACGAACAGACTTCATAAATATTTATGTAAAAACCTTAATAAAATGTTAACAAATTAAATCCCATAATAAAATACTGTGTATTGATCAACAGAGTTGATTCTAGGATGCTAGGTCATTTTAAAAAGTGATCCTCAATCATTCCCACGCAAACACACAGAGAAAAGGTAGGAGGAGGTAAGGATGTAGTGAGGAAGCCTGAACAGCTCACCCTTGGAGTATCTGATTGTGACATCTGCAGGATTATGCTATAGTTGAGATCTTCAACGTTCCGCAAAGGCCCATATGTTAAGATTCTGGTTCACAGCCCATGTACTATGGGGAGGTGGTGGAACCGTTTGGAGGTAGCCTCGCAGGAGAAAGCTGGATCATTCATGGTGTATGCTTAAAGGGGATACTGGGACCTTGGCCCTTTCACTTTCTCTCTATTTCCCAGATGCCATGAGGTGAACATATCTCTACAATGCACTTCCACCATAATGCGCTTCATTGCCACAAGCCCAAAGCAACCCCACCAAGAAACCAAGCACTAAATTCCCCAAACTTTTGAATCTTCCCTCCTTTTAAGTTGACTATCTCAGGTATTTTGTTACTGACTATAAGGCAGAAGGAAAGGTGCAGTTTCAATTGAGTGTTTATACAAAGATAAAGAAGTTAGAGCATGACTCAATGTAGATGGAATAGATCATGAGGAGCCAGAAGTTGTTATACATAGAGGAAAAAAAGATAAATTAGATGGGAAATCCCTGAGATAGTGGTCTTACAGCACAGTTAGGAAGACTTTCATATTGCAAAATATGAAACATTTAAAGTGTTAAATATAGAAGAAACTAGCAATAAGATAACAGTTGTACATTATGGCTATGTTACAGACATTAATGTGCATGTGGTCTTAAAATCACCCAGCAACATGGAAACRCTTCATAACCTAATGCTAAGAGACACAGAAAAAGCACAACACAAAACATGATGCAGACTACAATGATACATTAGTGACAAAAATGTGGGAAAACAGCTTTAAATGGGGTAAGAATAGTAAACTTCATTGCTATTATGTGGCGGGATTATAGTTGGATATTTTCTGCTAATTTTTTTCTCACAGTATAATGTAACTTTAATAATTTTAGCAATCTTTTTCTTAATCAAAAAGAGGCATAAAAATGTTTTAAAATATCACTTAAAGTTAGGTATGTTCCTGTTTAAATGGTGTGTCCCCAAAATACAGGTTATCCAGAAATCCTTAAGAGGAAATAAGGTACTTGCATGTAGTTAGGATGARCCATTGAATTAGATCCCCAATGTCTGATGGTATCTTTTTTAGGAAAAGAATAGGGAGAAACAGAGGCACAAAGGAAACAGGGAGGTCATGTGGTGATGCAGGCAGTGATCAGAGTGATATAGCTGTAAATTAGGAAATGCCAAGGATTTCTGGAAAATTTTAGGATTTCCTAAAGCCATTTGAAGGGACAGGGTCTTGCTGATTTGGGTCTTGATTTAGGACTTTTGGCTTTCAGAACTAAGGGAGTAAATTTATGTTGTTTTATATCTTTCAGTTTGTGGCCATTTGTTATATGGTCTATAAGAAATGAATACAATTTTCAATTGATCAGATAATTAAATACAAAATACTTATTTGGGTTTCTTCTCTTGGTTTTTTAAAACAAATTAAGAAACAGCACAGAAATGCTGAGTAAAATTTGAATCAGTATCCTGATTTGATTCCTCTTGCACCACCCCCAGAGAGTGCATCCTTACACACTTAGATGGCAGGTAGGTGATAAGAAAAAGAGGTAAGATTGATCAGGTAATGTCTAGTTCTTTTTCCCTGATCTGTCCACACACAGATTATGGAGGATGAATGTTTTTCCCATACTTTCTCCTTCAAAATGTAAGAAAGAAGTTCACTTATTATAGTGAAATATAAAAGGAAGGGACAAATGTTCTCCCTTAATAATGCTGCATAGCAGACTTCCTCCTGGAAACCCAAAGAGTCATATCTAAACTTCACTTCGGCATATCCCAAAGAATATAAAGCAGTGTCATGAACATTCAGTACTTTGTTGTATGAATAAAACCAAATGCATAAAATGACACTAATATTGTCCTTAGCCATAAATTGTATAATTCAATATATATATGTATGTATGTGTATATATATATATATATATATATATATATATATATCAGCATTATTATTAGAGATATACAGTATTATATACACTATTATGTAGACTCATTAGATCAAAATTATTTTAACACATTACTTTCTCTGAAATGGGTAGAATCTTAAAAAAAACAAATTATGGCTTAATTGGAAGCATCTCCCTCTTTCTTAGTGGTATTTAAAATAACGGTATGTCTTATAATTGATGGAGTTTTGGACTCAGTGAAATATAGTCTATTAAAAAAAAAGCTTAAAATTATTTTCTTATCAATTGTAGAAGCAAACATGTAAGACCCATACATACACATAAATGCATGCACACAATTCATTCTCTTTCTATTTTTCTAGTAATCAGAGGCAAATGCCTGAATTTAAGAACATAATTCAACAGCTCAGCAGTAGTGCCAACCTCAAGATCAAAGTTTTCAGAGAATGTTTTTTCCTCAGCTTCTAATTGTCTGCCATCCAGACTTGGAAGGGAAGGTGCAGAATTGAAGTCTTCACTGAGAGCAGTTTCTTTATCTTCTCCTAGTCTTTCTTTCTCCTCCACGTGCCTGCTCTTTCTTAACAAGCTCCTTGGCAGAGGTAAAGGCTTAAAATGGTCATCTGTTTCAAGGCTGCTGCTATTTTCTGCTAAAAAATAAAATGTTTTAAGATGATTGGGAGGAAAAAAAAAAAAAAAACACTTTGGCTTTGACCATTGCCCCAGAGACACCAAACTTCCCTCCAGTGCCATGTCCTAGAAAGTCCAGATGAAGACCACACCCTTATCCATAAGCTCAAATAAGACCCAGATAAGGAATAATTCATGGCCCCCAATTTTTAACAATGTTGCCATCAGATACTTTAAAGTATACTGAAAGTAATCAGTATACTTTAGTTTTATAAGAAGTTAACTCTTCAACTTTATGAACTCTCATAATATTCAAAACATTTGAAAAAACATAAAATCTTGCCTCAATAAAATGAGGAGGTTCGTGCATCAAATCTTAAAGTACCTGAAGCCAAGCTATGTACACACTATTGATCCTCATAACATAACAATGACAATGGCCCTGTCCAAGGACTTAACAGGTTGGGAAGGGAGATCATTTATAGCAAAGGKTTTTTGTTTGTTTGTTTTAACTGGGCATTGAACCTAAGGGCACTCTACCACTGAGTAAATCTCCAGTTCTTTATTTTTTATTTTGATTTTAAGACAGGGTCTTACTAAGTTAGTGAGCCTGACCTTGAACTTGGGATCCTTCTGCCTTTGCCTCCTGAGTAGCTGGGATTGTTGGTCTTCTTAGACAAACACAAGGACAAGACAAAGGTAAGTGCTGTTACAAGCATGAAAATGATGAYACTGGCACACAAGGGATAGAAGTCTTACCCTCTCACTGGAGGAATGAATGAAAAAACACGACTCGTGAGTTACCATTCTTTGAGTCCATTAAAATTGTATAGTTAGGGCTGGGATTTAGCTTGGTGATAGAGCACACAACTGAGCATGCAGGAGGCCACAGGTTCTATCCCCAGCACCACAAAGACAAACAAATGAAAAAAATAAATGAATGAAATTTCACAGTTGCTTTTCCCAAGTTGCAGTTTAAAATAAGAACCAGTATTCTGGTATGCTTCTAGCCCTCAAAGCACTGATTTTTCTTCATTTATATACTTTTTGCCTAAATTTTACCTATTACACATACTTCTTCACTATTCTACCAATGTATTCTTCTAAAACTTTACAACTAGGCTAATTAACACATACCTCTTTTTTACCTACCAAAGGGCTTATGAATGTTGTTAGAGGATTCCACAATCTTGTCAAACTGGTACCACTATAAATGCTTCCTTGCCAATTTTAGCTATATCTAAAACTCTGGTCAAATGTTCAACCCCAAGTCAAAGAATCTTCCTAGATTCCTCCCTCCATTTTGCCTGCAACCATAGAATCACTACAGCCAATGATTCTACTTGATAAATATCTCTCTCCTTTATTTTATGCTCTTCATCCCTGAGTTAGTTTCTCATCTCCTCTTTCTAGACAGTGCCTCAGGGATATCTATAAAATGTAAGTCAGACCCCATCACTCCCTTCACAAAATTCTACAAGGGCTCCCCATCATCTAATCCTATAGAATAAAAAATCAATGACTTTTGAATAAAATGAAAGGCTTTCCTGGTGTGTCCCTGAGTGCCTTGCTGCCCTGTCTGCTGGCATACCCATTTTCTAATTTCTGTTCCTGGGATAGTGAACTAACACACAGGCTACACAACTTTCTTGTCACCAAATCTCTTCCTAAGCTGATTCATCTGCCTAAAACATCCACTTCTGGTTTCTCCTCCTAAAGATGCTTGTTATCTTTTGAACCTCAGATTAAGTAGAATATTGGACAATGCCTAAAAGAAGGTACTAAGTCAACGTTTTATTTTATTGTGGTAAGAATAGTTATGAGATCTACCCTCTTTAACATTTTTAAGCATGTAATACAGTACTAGCTATAGCTATAGGCACAATGTTGAACACAGATCTCTAGAACTTACTCATCTGGTATAACTGAAACTGTTGAATAGCAATTCCCCATTCCCTGCTCCTCCAAGACCCTGGCAACCACCAATCTACTCTGTTTCTATAAGTTTGACTAGTTTAAATACCTCTTATTTGAGTCGTGGCTCTGACACTTATTATATATCCTTATATAAATTATTTGACCTCTATCTACATTGAAGTTTTCCCACTGTTCAAATCAGTTAAAATTTTCTAAGTGCTTATAGGTCCTTGGCAAGAAAATATATAGTATGTAACACAGTGCCATACATATCACAAGTGCTCAGTGACATTAACAATGGTGGTAAACATTTCTTAGCCTTTTTTTTTTTTTCTTTTGGTTTGTGAATCACTCCTGTGTTCTTCGGAGCAGTTTCTCCCTGAATCCATCTGTGTAATATTGGTGGATTAACAAATATCTCCACCATAGTCAGTGAAAAGTAGGGATCCATGATGTGCCCTACCACCACCATTACTAACTTATTTTGTTGTTGTTGTTGTTCTATGCCTCCTACTAAATTGTAGTCTTAGATGATTGGTACTAAGCCTTTTCAATGTTGCATTCTTATTTACCATCACAATGCTTTTAGTATGATGAGACATAATATATTCAATGTATATGCATGAATAAGTAAAATAATTTGCTTATAGACAGATGCTAAATAATAATAGAATGCTTAATTTATTCCAATACTGTTGTAAGCACTTCAAGTCTAAGAAGTTATAGAAGAATAAGGCTAAGCTCATAAAGCACAGTCCTTCTTTCATGAATGAATCATTCATATATTCATTTAGGTCCTTAAAGAATTCTATACAGCACTTTTCTTAACACTAATATATCTTATACTAAAATTCCTCTTCCAGAAGTACTAAAAATTTCTAAGATAGAAAAAAGTCTATACATTTCCAAATGCTTTTTAACATTTATAATCAAATATCTAAGTTCTCTACTTAAGCTACTATTTTTGTGTTACATATACTGAACATAATATTGCAGATGCCTAAGTAGAGCATTTGTAGTCATGCTGCCACCTTGAGGCTAAAATACATGTCTTTGTTCATCTTAACTCACTGCAGCTTTTTAACATGAGATAGGTAAATTTTTATTTTGCTAGTTATCTACCATTCATTTCTAATTTTTTTCTTCCACGTGTTTGAGAACATTTTTTTTGATGCTAAATGCTCATATTTTTTAAATAACCAAGGTCAAGTATGTTCCCTTTCTCCATTGTCAGTTTCACTCAGTACCCTGGGAAAGTATGTCAGTAAGTTAATGGTTTCATTATGCTTTGTGTTTACACTTTTGTAGTGCATTACAGTTTATGAGACTCATTCATTAGATTCTCAAAACAATTTTGTAGGACAGGAAGAGCAGGTTTTCTCCTCCTCCCTATGAGGACAGTAAGACTTAACCTATTTGCTGAAGTCAGATACAACTAATTTATGATGGCTTGTTTTTCAGTGTCTTAGACATTATTCAAGGGTTTTTTGTTTTGGCATCTTTCCCTCTTTTCAAAGTTAGTGGGATTCTGTGTGCTGGGCAAAAGGAAGTAGTTCCCTAATGCATGCCTGAAATAAAGTTTGTCTGATATTATCAGTAATATCTAACATGAAAAGTATGAAATGTTCACCAGCACTGTATTTACTGATGAGATTTTTACTAAGGCTAGCATCAACTAAAATTTTCTTTATAAAATGAAAGGAACAAGACTGAAAGATATCAAACTCTTAACCTTGCATCCACAAATTTTTGTGCATCTTCCAAAGGACTTCAAGGGGTGGGTTCCAGCTTTGTTCCACCTTTGATCCACTGTGCTTGGAGTTCAGTAGAATACTTGGGAGAACTCTTGTATTCCCAGATCACACCAAGAATTTCCTTTCAGAAAACTGAATTTTAGTAAATTTTCCAATGCTATCGAAAGATCAAATGGAGATTCTGTTTTCTTAAGGAGTGTCTGGAAACTTTGATAAACAAATAGCAGTGACACTTAAAATATATCAATGCCAAAAAACTGTTCTGGCAAAATATTGGTTTAGAAATGATTGTTTTGTGGTGATGGAGATTGAAACAAGGGCTATGTACATGTTATGTTAGGTAAGTACTCTATCACTGAGTTATGACGACTCAGCTCTGGAAATGACAGTTTTAGTATTGAGAGTATAGAGTGAATAAGGAAGCATTCCATTTAAGCTTATGGGAATATGTGTTTTGGGAGCTGCAGCTACATATAACTATAGGTGCTTTGGCTTTTTATTAGGCACCAGAAGAGATTGAAGACAGAATATACAACTGGATATCAGAATTATGAATTTTCTCTGTGGTTCAATTGTCTTATTTCTACAAAACTGTAAATTAAATATGACTTATTTTTTCTTACTATATACTACCTACCATATAAAGATTTTTTGAAATTATTGTCTTAAAATAAATTTTCAAGAAATACAATTGTAGTATCTAACAACCTACCTGAAGATGTGCTTTTGAGCGAAAAAATTCTGGGTTTAGGTTTTAGTTTAATTCTTTCTTTTTCAACATCTTGATCTTTATCCTGAGATTCTGATGAGGAATTTACCACCATGTCTTCATAACCATCAAGTGCCACATCTTCGTTGTTTTTGACAGAAAATCCTGGCCCATCTTTGGTTATGTCACTGTTTGATTTCTTGGTTTTCAAAAAAGATAGTTTTGGAGAATTATTTTCTTCATCATCTGATATATGAAAATCATTCATTTTTTTCTTAATGGAATTTTCATCTATGGAGGTATCAGAAAAATCACCCAATGAAACTGAAAACAGACAAGAAAAAACGTTTTCAATAGTATATTTTAAATCTCTTAAGGTCATATTAATCTTTTTTAAAAGAAAGATTACCTTAAAGTCTTGAAAGGGTTTGAAGTAAATTTATAAACATGTTTAAGTGCAAATTTATTTTACAGCTCTTAAAAACAGCTTATCTAGTCTGTTCTGAATTTGAATTTATGTAATAAAAATTTCAATTTCATTAATTTATTTAAAGTATTTATTGAATGCCCACAGGGTGCCAAGTACTGCACTTACTCTGGGAAATGCCATCCAAAGATTCCAAAAAATAACAATCAGTCTTGGGACATTCAGATTCCATTTTGGAGAGTAAAATCTTCATTTGTGAATCATTTCATCATATAAAATCAAGAATATTTGTAAGCAAAAGAGTTTAACTAGATTGTTTTCCACATAAATGTTGTAAATGCAACTGCATCCATACCAAAAATATTAGATTTTACTAAAACAAAGATAATAAAGAATGCTAACTTAAAAATATAGCAGTGATTTACTATTTTTACAGAGAACATTGATTATTGATTGAATATATATCAAAGAGTAGAACACTGAATTTCAAGTTCAGAATTCTGTATGGGTACAGAGTTAATATTTGAATGAAGCCTAAAGTATTAATATTTTTACCTAATTAAAATACAGCAAATTATATCAAAATGGTATTGATATATACAATGTGAATAGTCTGTCGTTTTTAAAAGGACACCTTATTATAGTCCAAAGACCTGATATATAACTAGCATTTATAAAAGTGCTTCTGAGGTACACTAAAATTTAGCTTTCTGTACCCCAGTTACCAACTAGCTGTTGTGCCTCCTAGTATTAACTTTAAGGAAGAACTTGTCCTCTTCCATGTAGTTTACCCCCAGTCATCATTTTATTGGTGTCAGTTAATTTACATAATCAAAATATATATTCACAAACAATCAAGAACAATCAAAAAACTTCTTGAAAATTAAGACTGGCTCTCTAACCCATTAAAAGTTGGAAATCTAAAACTAATGAAGTCAAAGGCATTATTTTAACACAAGTCTTTTTTGTTTGTTTGTTTTTGGAGGAGGGGAGTAGGTTAAATGTAATGAAGCAACATACAGAATAATATTTTACTTTTCCATGCTCTCACATACCAATCTCATCGCTCTCAAAGTCATCTGAGTATTCAGAACTCCTCTGTCTGGCCGAGCGAGCTGTAATCGCTCTTATTAGCTCATCCTGAAATGAGATAATTAAAATCAATTCCCATTCAAATAGGATGGAATATAATATCTACAATTAATTTGTAAACAAATAATAATTCTTTCAAACAAGTTGCATTTATTTAGCGTACATTAACTCTAAGCCTACATTGTACCATGCACCCAATTGAGTGAGGAGACTCAATGCAAATCACCATCACCAAGGGCACACCCTCTTGGTGCCTGCTGTTAAACTGGAGGAGACGACAGTATCAAACAAATTAATTGCAGATTATAATTTGAGCTAAATAGTAATAGGTAAGAGGGGACTCGATTTATATAGGATTTGTTACAAACTGCCATTTTGGAAGAATGTGGTACATTTTTTTGTTTTGTTTTGGGGGTTTATTGAGTTTTTCTTGTTTATTTATTTATTTATTTATTTATTTGGTACTGGGGATTGAACCTAGGACCTCCTGTACACTAAGCACACACTCTACCACTGACCTATATCCCCAGCCCCAAACTGGTACTTTATGTAAGCATACTGCAGAAACATATATAACCCATAGTGAAAATTTAAAGGTTAAGTTCAAAACTGTAATGACCCAGGAGAAAAAACTTCGTACTGTGCTACAATAGGAAAAAAAAAGTTTTTTTTTTATGTGAAAATAACAATTTAAAGTTGCATTTTAACTTTTAACTTAGTAAGAACCTACAATTAAGGTTATTTTGATGGCCTTAAAGTCACAAAGGAGGATTTGTAATACTGGTGCTCAAACGTGATAAATGATCTGCAAAACTTCAAAAAGAACAGAAGACTTACTCCTGCTTTATAAAGGAMCACTTCCTATAACCACGAAGTTCCACATTCATAATACAAAATCAATACAAAATGCCTTGAAATATTTTACCTGAAAAGTAGTTCTTTTGGTAACTTTTGGACTCTTGGTGTATGCCAAAGTTGTGCTGAAAACTTCGTCGGACATACTTTATCTTTTCTTGTTACCTTTATCAAATAGCTAATAAATAATTGGAGCAATTCACTCAACCTCTGATGGTGGCTGAAAGAGATGAAAACCAAATCAGACTTTTGCATGCTTAAAAATTTCTATTACTACATTTAACATAAAAAATAAACTAAACAAGAAGAAAAAATAGCCAAATCAAATTTAAAAAGTATCATATGAACATTGACTACATCTTCACCTACAAATGTGGAGTTCTTGTAAAGAAATAAATTCTCACCACAAATCTCTTTCTAAAAAATAAAAAAGAAAAGAAAAATGTCAGTGGAAGTTATCTTAAATAGTCTTGCATTTTTAAGGATGAGCAAATAAATGACTGCAATTGGTTAATAAAAATAAAAGTTGACAATTAATACATAACATCCTATTTTTCCCCTTTTCCATTCAAAAAAGCAAAGCATTTCTCAACGAGTCATGCTTTATTAAGTCCACCAAGAGGATTGTATACTTTATAAAAGCACTAGCCCTGTACACAAATTGCTTGCATTATAGCTCTATGCAAAAAAAAAAAAAAAAACATAATGCTTAACCACAAATAGCCAGCGATATTTTTTCAAGCCACTTTTGTCCCTCACGAAAGTGTTAACAAGGCTGGGAAAAACAAAACGAGGTTTCCGCGATGCTTGTATTAACATCGCTGTTGCTCAAGCTCCAAGCTGAAGGCCTAGACCAGGGCCGCAGGATCACCCGCATCAGCGCACGTCCCAGTACCACACTAACTCCCTGCTGGGCCAGGTGCCCTCCAGGTCCCCACCCGCTGCTCACGCGCCAGGGCCCCCAGCATGAGCCCGGCTTGTGCACACCCAGAGGCTGTCACCGCCGCCATCCGTCGCGACCCCGAAGTCCCGCGTTCTGTACCCACCCCCGCCAGTCGCACGGCGGGCTCCCAGAGACCTGGAGGACCAAGCCACTCGCCTGGAGCAGGAGGTTCTAGCCTCAGTCTGGGCCTGGCAGCGCTCGGAAACCCGGACTAAGCAAGGAGGCGGGGCCAAAGACGTAGGCGGGAGGCAGTTGCTAGGCAACGGCGTCCCYGGGAGGAAGTGACTTCTACAACGCCGGGTCTCTTGGGTACCCAGCACCGCCCTTCCGCCTAACGCGTCACCGGGGGCAACCGGCTAGACTAAGGAAGTGACATCACCTGTCTAGGTCTTGGGGGAGAGGTTCTGCGCGCTGCTGTGTTGCCTAGGAGACAGGATTCGCCCGGCTCCAGGGAGCCTTCCTTGCTCTTGCCGCTGAGCGAGGGTCTAAATCTGCCGCTGTGCCTGAGGCAACGTACACACAGAGTTTTGCCGGAATTAGGACATGAAGTTCTGTGAATCCGTGTTGGAGTAGAATGTGACCGGATGTGACAGACTAGCAGAGTAGTGACGTTTGCACACCGCAGTCACCTGCACATTTTAGTATTGACCTTTCCCTACGCAAGTGGATGTTGTGCAAATAAGCGACTGTATACTTCAGTTTCTCCTTAAAAAAGAAAAAAAGAAGAAAAGGAAAAGAGATAATAATAATAGCCATCTTAAAGGATTGCTGTATTGGAGAGAATAATACAGATGGAATACTTGGAAGAGTGCTTGGAATTGCATTCAGTCGATATTAGATATGATCTTTATGCACCTAAGCCACAAAAGGCCTGGACAGAAGTCAACCCTTGTGCACACACCTGAGAGCCCATTTCAGTTCCTGCTTTAATGTAAAGCTTCCCTTTTGTATACTTAGTGTATAATCACAAAGTGATCTTATAAGCTGGAGGAGAGGGTGTCACTAAGGGGAAAGTCAACATTATCTAATTAGCATTGGTTATACTTTAAACTAAAGACAATAAAATAAAACCCCAAAACACATATTTAAAATTTCTAAAATAGCATAAATTTCATGCTATTTTTAATTTATTTTTATTTATGCTATATTTTTATTTTTTAAAGAGTTCACTTTTGTTTAAATTGCCTAATGAATTCATCAACTAGTAGTTAAACTTGGCATTTTTCCTTATCTCTGCAAAAYATTAACATTTTACTTATTCAAAATTGATTTATAAATAAATCACATTCACATATAGACTTTAAAATCATTGAAAAATGCACATAAAAAGAAGTAAAAACTTTAGTAAAAAATAATGCTTTTAACAATATTTGTGATCTACCTTTGAAGAAATGTGCAGTTTATGTCGGTCCACTTATTACTGTTTGGGAAACTCAGTTTGATCAACATTTGCTTAGGTTTGATGWTTTTAAATATTTCTGAGTAAATATCTGCATAAAAGAAGGATTTTTCATTTTCACTAGTTACTGCTAATTTTCTGACCCATGTAAATTATTAACCGACAAATATGATTCCCTTATGGTACCTATGCCCACACTGAGAGGACAGCATCCACACTTTCCTTAAAAGTGATATACTAATTTGCTTGTATTGAAATAATTATAATTATGTACAAGTATATGCTTTTTCATTTCTTTCTTATTCATTTCACCAATACAGTTTTCACTTAGACATGGTTTAAGGAATAAAACTCAAAAAATATTAATAAAAAGAGTCCTTGGGAAAACATTCTATTTTTCTATGGAACAAACTGGATTTTTATTTTCAACTCAGTAATTAATAGAAGATAATAATTAATAGTTGATGTAAAGTTATGCTATAGAAAGCTACAGTAAAGAAAAACAGTTAATCTGAAATGGCTAATTACTCCACAGGATTCAAATCACAATATCTTTCCACTATTCTCTTATTTTAATGCTGCATAACCTTAAGTGCTATGTGAATATTTTCAATCATATTCAGTATAAGTTAATGGTAACATTATATAATATTTGAATCAATAGTATCATTTTATATAAAGCATAGTTGGGAATATATATAATAATATACTAATATATATTATATGTAGTTGAATATAATTGTTGAATGAATGAATTAATGAATAAATGAATAGCACTTTAAATTTAAAATACTTTTACAGCATTACAAAAGAAGTTCCTAGATGCTCAGTTAAAAATAATTAAAGTACTACAAAACAAAAAACTCTACAATATTTTATGTAACGTTTTTCTCTAGATTTTATGTATATATATTTTATACATCCTTTGAGTTGAATAMCTTTTCCTTTCGTTGCCTTGTCTCCACCCACCTAGTCATTCATTCATTTAGTATACCCGCATGAATAACATATTGAGGGTCATATTTTGAGTCCAAAGGTAAAACAGACTAAGTCCCTACCTAGGACAATGGTTATGATCCTGTGGCCGGCAGTGCACCTTAGAGGTTAAAAACAAAAAAAAAATAGAGACAAAGGATCTTAAACTTATAGCCAGCATTAGCTGAATAATTAAAGCACCTAACTAGAATTTCAAGAAGTATACTACAAACAACAAGTCTCCACAAATGTCCATGATAAAGACTGTGCATTAGATTAAGCACTGAACCCCTATGTCAGAAAAGAGAATGAGAGTAAGAGCCCATRTACAAGTACACAGATTATTGCTGACATGTGGGAAGAGAACTTCTATAAGAAAGGACTGATAGAAAATATCCAAACCCACATGATCAACTACATTGGTTAAGAGTATTGTTTCTTACAAGTGAGGAAAAACAGCATGATTACTCTCAAAGAAATATGAAAATTGTCAGAACCAAAATGGAGTCCCTTGTGTCAATCCTAATCTAAACACAAACAAACAAAAAAAGTRAATAAAACTTGGAAGTTTACCTGGATTCTGGAAGTGTTCTTATGCATGATCTTCTGATATTAACTCCAGGAAAGACAGTCAGAACCACATCATTGTAGAGGCCACCACAATCTTATGTAAAAAGAATTTCTACAAGCACACCTGCCCCAAAACTGTGAGTTCAACCTCAGAATAAAACCACTCCTGTTATTACTCATTGTGACCAAAGATTATTGTTTCCAAATATCTGATGAAATCTTCTTCATTTTTTTGTCTTTAAAAATTTCCTTTTTCTTTAACTTCCTTGAATATATGCATCATTTACTATGGCATGCTTRTTCCCATTGCAATACTCTTCTATTCTTCCAATGTTCTGCTATTACCAAGTAAACTTCATTACTTTTGGGAGAATCCCTCTATGTTTTATTTTGGTTGACACCTCAGTCATAATGGTGTTATGATTTATATATTAGGTGCCCCCAAAATCTCATGTGTGAGACAATTCAAGAAGGTTTGGAGGATAAATGATTGGGTTATGAGAACCTTAGCCTAATCTCTGTTAATCTCTTGATGGGATTAACTGAGAGGTAACTGTAGGCAGGTAAGGTATGGCCGGAGGAGTTGGGTCCCTAGGGGTATGCCTTTGGGGGAATTTTTTTTATATCTGGAGATATTTTTTTTTTAATATCCGGAGAGTGGGGATCTCCCTTTCTCTCTCTCTCTCTCTCTCTCCTTGCTGATCAACAATGTGAGCTGCTTCTGGCAACTGGCTGTCAATGGACTGAAACATCTGAAACTGTGAGCCCTTAAATAAAAATTTTTCCTCCTCTTCAGTTGTTCTGGTCATGTCTTTTAGTCGCAGCATGTAAAAGCTGACTAAAACAAATGGTGTGCATTTTTCGGTTGTTGTGTAGAGATAGTTGAATAATTATGCACCAAGAGAAACATAATTAGTCATTTTAAATCAGAACTTTTATCTTAAGCAAATCATTTTTGTTGTGAAGGTAATGTCTTCAGTTAGTCTTTTCTACAGATAGTATTTTAATTGGATACATGATTTGGATGGACACCATTTATATTACCTGTATAATGGTAGTGGTACTGAGCCTAGAATAATACTTAGTGCTTTTACTCATAGTGTTTAATTTCTTCTTTATAAAATCTTGTGAAAATCGTGCTTTTATATCCGCATTTTGTAGGTGATAAAATGAAACTTTAGAAAAAGTATTTTAGCTATTAAGTGAAAAAGATCTGGACCTTGACTAGAGCCAGGGCTCTTAATTAACCACTGCAGTAATCTGCCTATTCATCAAAAAGTCCATGTTCTGATTCCCTGAAGCTGCATGTTACTTTTATGTGTCTAAAAGCGTTGTGAACATGTGATTAAATTAAGGATCTCAAAATGAGAATATCATCCGGGATTACCTGGGCAAGTCCTGTATAATCAGGAGGGTCCTTAAAAGGCAGGACAGGAGAATGTGATTCAGAGCAGGGAGGTGCTTACTATAAAGGAGGCAGAGGTCAGGTGATGCAGGGCCATGACCAAGGAATACAGCCAGCCTCATAGAAGATGGAAAAGTCTAGGAAACAGATTCTCCTCTAAAGCCTCCAGAAGTGAGCGTTCAGGTCTCTTAACCTACAAGAGAATAAATGCCCATTGTCATTCACCACCTAGTTGGTGGTAATTTGCTGTGGCAGCAACAGGAAATATAAACATTATAYTTCATTTTTTTTAAATGGCTGACTTTTTTTCAATCAAGATTCTGATGTTCAGAATGACAAGTACTAGGCAATAGATAGGCAATTTTATATTAATACATCTAGTTTCTGTTGGGGTCTGCTACATACTTCAAGGAAGCAGGGAGAATCACAGCCTGTCCACTTACTATTTCATGTTCAGGAAAAAAGATGGGGAAAAACATAAAATGTTATGCCTGGATTTTCCTAATAAAAATAATCTTGACAGTTAGATGGGAGGTGAATTGGGGTGGGAAAATGAACTTTGAAGGAAGCTAGAAGGTGTCACCCAGAAAGCTATGCATTTGCTCAGAAAAGATATGACATGGTCACATAATCAGCCAATGGCTGTACAAATAAAAAAAAAGATACTGTGAAAAACCAGTGTAAATAATACAACTGAAAATTTAGCTAAATATGTGCGTTCTAGGGAAGGAAAGAGGAAAGAGGGACAGACTTGTTAATGTTGAGATGACTGTGACATACAGGGTGGATGTGAGGCTGGGATACTAAGAGGGGCATTGGATGGAATCCTGGGAAACT